CAAGTGACCGGATCGCGAACAAACGCGCTCTCACAGTGGCCGCTTCTCTGCCGTGCGCGACGAGGTCACGCGACAGTAGGTGAGAAGAAGCTCGGGGTTTGTGACAAGACGTTCGTACGTACCGTGTTGGTGGGCGTGGCGAGCGTCACCGCGCAAAGCGGACGAGTTGCCCTGCCTCGCCGTTTGAGCTCTAGTGCAAAGGAGCGGGGGAACTCAACACTTTCATAGAGACTTGTCACCACTTGAATTCATGCGCATTTCGCTGCTCCATCCGACCAACTGACCCACATTGAGAAGTTGCCGCTCATCGCCGCACGATGCGTCGCGCGCAACAGCGCTGCAAGTGATGATTGTCTTGTCTGTCTCCCAGTAGCTCGGCCAGCGTGAAACAGTGGTGGTTCAGATACACTAGGCTGGTTTGCCAGCGTTTGAGGCGGAAGAGAAGGAAGTGCTGTTCTTTACGGATCAATCGCCGCGTACTTTCGTCGCGCGCGGCACGTGGCTGGAACAAATACTATGCGCCTATCTGTGGGTCACAAATAGCACTGCACTAAAACACATGTGTTTAGGTTGTCTCTTTTGTCCTGCTATAAATGAAGGTCCACGAGTCAGAGCAACATTGACATATCATCCGACAACCTGGTGCAAACAGTATAGGCTCGACGGTTGTGGAAGAGGCTACAGGTAGGCCTGCTCTATGAGGGCGTATATTTTGAGAAAGGCTAACAAGACCAATGGGCACGCCGGTCATGGGCAAAGATCTGGACCGCAAGCGGGGCTCGATCCCCGAACCTCACGCTTACCTTAGGGGCAAGCTATCCATTACGCCAACAGGACCAATCCTATCCAATTGGCTCGATGGTTTTTGTGCCAGCGGTGCTAAGCGCTGGCTGGGAGGTGAAGGAGAGAGGTGGCACAACGTGTTGCAATGCACAGCCATTGTGCTCGAAGAGCCTTCCGAACACTTCCGAAATCCTAGCCTCCTAGACAGCGCATCTGCTTTGACTACACCGTATCGTTCATGAGGCGAAGTCAGGCCCACCGAATTGCCAGCGGTATTCTGTCCTTTCTAGACGGGAAAGGGGAGCACGTAAAAGCAGAATGGTACGCCTAACTCCGCCCATACTGTCAGCGTGGAGTGTTATATTTTACGAAAGATAAGTTTTTGATTTCAGGGTTGGTACGGAACTGATCTCGAACGTCCTTACATGTGACTCACAATTACGGTGGACGAGTGGCGGATATATTGGGCCCGTAGCGGAGCCTATTACAGTAGACTGTCGCCTTGCGTAGTGGCCACTAGACCTTAGGCAGCGTTCATAGTTCGCGACAGCAGCGGCGATCGCCGCGATCGTCGGTGCATGGCAGCGCGCGCCCCAACGCTATTACTTGCGCTCCGAAGGCTTCTGGGGGTAAGCGGCTCAATTTTATGCTTTTTTCCTTTAACTGCAATTTCCTTAGGTACTGAAGCTTGGTTTGACACAAGGGAAGGTGAGCCCAGCTTAATTGTTTTCTATTTTCTTTCTTATTTAGGATAGAAATGAGCAAAAAGCGCGAGAGCTTCACTTAAGGTACGTTTTTATTGCTTCTTTTTTTCATTCGTCGAGGTTGTACATGAGGTTTATGAAGTTTTCACCTGTTGATGTCGCGTAAAATGATTAGTGCTTTGGTTCCTAGGAGAGTTTCTTTCTGTTTCTTTTTTTTTCGTTGTTTGAACTCGACTTGTAAACTATGAATGTTTTGGAAGTTGGAACAGCTTAGACGATAGGAATCCTGAGGCGCATGCATAAGTTGAAACAATAAAAACAAAAAAAGAAGCTCACCCAGGAAATGGAGTTGGTCTTACCCCGACCTAAAAGGAAGTGAAACCTTCTTACCTCATATTCCAGATCTGCTTATGTGTAGAAAGTCGTAGCTTATCTGTTAGTAGCCCTTATTAAGAGTAAAGAAGGTCTTACAAGTTGAATTCCCTTATTCATCAGGCGAGCATCCACAATAGCGTTGGGGCGCGCGCTGCCATGCACCGACGATCGCGGCGATGAACGCTGCCTTACAGAGGCGAGAGTGTATGATATTCTCGCAAACCTGATGATGTTTTCAGAATTTGGGCGCACTCGGCACGAAGACAGTGGGTACGATAATTTAATTTATGGTCAGGTGCAGAAGAAATTTTCAAAAATCCGCGAAATTGTCTCCAGTTCTTGGTCGTTGGGCTGTAAACGACCTCAAAATATGCTGACATGAAGTATAGAATCTCATCAAAACCGTGCTCTCCCTTTTTGACAGGCAGGCGCAGACCGGTGAAGATGGTAGCCGACATACCCATCAGGGGGAGGGACACTGACCAGTTGGCGGTGTTTGATGGAGCTCGGAAGACGGTTTTTTTTAG